AGTGGCATTTTTGCAAAAGGACACCAAAAATGACATTTTTGTAAATGTGGACACAAAAAGTGGCATTTTTGTAAATGTCTCTCTTTTCTACGGGGTTAAGATAGAATTGGCTAAAAACAAATATTTTGAACATTTGATTATATTTTTTTAATTATATTTCGTTATCACTCCCCTTTGACCCTTTTCCAACCTCTAGGTAGATAACTAATAGTATTTTACTAATTCAATCTTCTTTTTGGCAGGTAGATTTGCTAGCGGTGATCCTAAATAATTGAAAAATCTCTATAAGGATCTCCAAAAATCTTAAAAAATTCAATTTCTTCGAGAATCTATATATCTTCCTTCTTAACTTATATACTAACTGCCATCTTTACACGGTACTCTTTTGAAACCAATTTCACTTCTTCCACTCAGTCCAGTTCATTTTTTCCTTTAATTTTTTTTTCTTTAATGAAAGATCCCATGGAGTTAATCTGCGGAATTTTCAATCGCCATGTCAATTCTGTAATGATAGAAAAAGGATGCGTCCAACATAAATTGATATCATGTAACCTTGACCAATATGTCAATGATCACGATATGCATATTGATAATCATCCCTTGGTTTATTTTTGTTTTGAAACTAAGAACATTTTACTGTTTTTTAATCCCATTGCTAAGAGCATTTATGGTGTTTTTGGATCCACTTTTTGCCTTTTTATCCTTTTTTCATTTTTGTTAAGTTTTTTTTCTTTCAGTTTTGGATCTAAGTTGACGTACTTGAAACATTTTCAGGACATTTGAGATGTTTCTTTTGTTATCTACAACCCTCATTATTCACATAGAAATCCTATAAAACGTATTGTCCGCTGGGTTCGTTGTACGGTTTGGTTGATCATGGAGATGAGTAGGCATTTCAATAAGAAATTTATTGCAATCTCACCATGGACAAAGCAGCAGGCCAGAACACAGTGACCGAATTTTCTATACGAAACGTTTGCATATGAGAGAGAATTAGATTCGAACATGTAACAATTTCCGTTTTTGGATCTTTAATTATGTCAAATATTCCGATTTAGATTTGTATTATGTTTGAGATTGTATTTATTATGATAAAAATGAAAATTTTAATTCTTGGTGACATAATAACTTTTGTTTTTCTTTATGTTGCATGGAAACAATTATTATGTGGGTTTGAGACTATGTGAAACACTCTCTTTCTACCCACATTTTATATTTAATGATACTCACAAGCAGTTTTATCTACTCAAACTATGTGCGACTTTTCTGTGTTGGTTATTTTATTTTTTTTGGTCAACCTATTTTGGTTAGAATTTATGTTAGTTCTTCAATTACCGGAGAAAAATAAAAGAAATCTTATTATATAATCTGGCATTTATAACTTTATTAGAATGTTCACATTAATTGTACTGATCTTATAGATCAGTCACAAAATTATCTGGTTTGCTTTAGTAGTTTAGGTCATAACATCTCTTGGTTGTACAATTTGTCAGTGTTTATATAACCAACATTTATAACTTTATTAGAATGTTCACATTAATTGTACTGATCTTATAGATCAGTCACAAAATTGTCTGGTTTGCTTTAGTAGTTTAGGTCATATCATCTCTTGGTTGTACAATTTGTCAGTGTTTATATAAACAACATTTATAACTTTATTAGAATGTTCACATTAATTGTACTGATCTTATAGATCAGTCATAAAATTGTCTGGTTTGTTTTAGTAGTTTAGGTCATATCATCTCTTGGTTGTACAATTTGTCAGTGTTTATATAAACAACATTTTTCTTGCAAATTTTTTTTTTTAAAAACCTTATGAAATGGTTGCTAGTCTATATTAAATTCTAACATTTTTATTTGTCGACCAAGCTTTTTGGATTTTTGATCAATAATCTCTTTCTTTTGGAACCTATCTTTGGTAATATATGTGGTGGTTCCAGATCATCATTTATCAAGCCTAATTAAAATTTGACTCGAACATGTTAAAATATAGTTCTTAATCTCATCATAGTTCTTGATATTTCCTATGTAGATGGTGGTGTAGATATTTCTTGTTGATGAAGACTAGTGGTGCATCCGTAACGTGTCAATTCTTTGATTCAGTTAATTTTCACCTTAGAATGCCTAGTCCTCTTGTTGATTCAGCTAGTCTACATCATAGCAGGTGCAAGAATGGATTTGGAAGTATTGAGTGCTTAGCCTTCATGTTGCTAGGATCATAGACCATAGTCACATCAGACAGGGTACATGATCTAATGAAGTTGAGAAGTTGTAAGATTTCCTAACTAACTTCTTTCACTATAAGAAATTAGAAAGGTAGAATTTTGGTGTCCTTTTAGCCGATAAATCATTGATCTTTTTCAGAAATAAGTTTCCTAATGTGTATAAGTCCCTCTATTTATGGAAAGGTGTTGAGAAGGTTGATTTAGAGATTATACATGCATACGTCTAAGCAAATCGTTAGTTCTTAGTCTCTTTTTGAATATCTGAAAATGATATATTTATTTAGTGTATTTTAAGGTCCTTTCAAAGTCTTAAGCTTTAGACAAAAAGAAGTTAGATTTAAACATGAGATACCATTTTGAATCCATGCGATCTCAACATATCGGGGAAAAAAATGTAGTGTGAGGTAGTTGAAGAATTTGAAAGGTTTAGAGCAAAAAAAGAGTGAAAATAAGATCATGAGTGCACAGAGTGTGATCAGAAAAGGCAGAGAAAGTAACAAAGGTGAAACCCAAGTCTTACTAACCGGTAATCTGCCTAATGTCTTTGTGATGTTTTTTCAGATATGCAGAAGGGAGTAGGGACCTTGAAACCTCAGGTTCAACGACACCCATTAACAAAAGGTTGTCTCTGAGCTCAATTATTTGGCTAATGAGATGACTTATAGTACTTATAGAATGTTTTGCAGGATAACCAAATTTGGTTTGAATTCCCTCCACAACGTTAGCTGATGGAGAAGGAGATATATAGAAGAATTGAAACCACTTCAACTATTTCAAATTCTTATTTTGGATGAGGAAAGAACACAAACTGGTTGTTAACTTCAACTCCTAAGCAGTGCATGCTAACACAAACATGTACAAAAGAGAGAGAATCTATACCAAACCCTAAACCTTAGAAATAATGAGACCAACGTCTACTTATCTTCCACCTTCATTCCAGGCCTCGATCTTGACCCATTTTATTCCCTTCTTGCAGATCTCAATCTTGGATTAATATTATCAATCTAGTTATGCCGAGTCATACTAGGTAAGTTTGTTATTGTCCACAGAGTAAGCACTGTCGTAATTGAATACTCCACTTTCATCTGCCATCGTTAATTTCCTGCTGTACACGAAAAATACAAAAAAAAAAAACAACATTAAAGATATGGATCAACGCATGTTTTCTATAACTCAAGAATCATAAGAAACATCACCTGATCAAGAAAAGAACTATGTGTGTAAGAAGAAGGAACTGAATGTAGATGCATCATAGGTGGCTCAGTTACATGACCGTTCATCATCTGTTGTTGATTCGCCTCGAGTGAAGCAGAGGAATGATGATGATTAGGAATCATCGTAGTGGTTGCCATAACCGGCTCATGGAATTGGAACAAACCTGCCTCTTGTGAGTTATGCATGACCAAGCGAGTCAAGTTTCCAACTGTAGCCTCGTCCTCATTATGCATCTCAAAGCTGTTATAACCAAAACTTTCTTCAGTGTTCTCGATACATGCCACCTCTGAAGTCTGATAATGGTGATGAGTCATCACTAGGTTTTTACTCGAAACTGCGACAGAGACTCCATCACAGAGATGATGATTTCCGAGAGGTGACACGAGTTGTGTCGTGAGATTAGTGTTTGGAATCTGCTGTTGATGTACACAAGGTTGAGGGATGTTGTTGATATGATATATTGGGAATTGAACATCTCCTCTTCTGTAGAAGTCAGTTGCTTCTTCTCCACCATACATTTTTCTCTCTTGTTGAGTTGTTAAAGATACGTTCCTTTCTTTCTCTTTCTCTTTCTGATCATTCTGTTTTTTTAGACTAATACGGAATTTCTGTACACCCAATTTTTTTTTTAAAAAAGGAAAAAATTAATACAATATATTTATGATATATGTAAATAAAATAACTAGGCAAAAATTCAAAACAAAGTATTGTGTTACCGAGAACAAAATAAATAAAATAAGGTTTTTTTCAAATGTATCTTTAAATTTTTGTTAAACCATATTTTAGTTGAATTGTTTTGGTTAATACTTAGATGTTTAGATCCACTAATCCTCAAACTATATTCGTTCACTAACAACATGTAGTCGCTGAGATACAAGAAGTTAAAAATGTCGATAGATAGATATGTCCATGCTTCATTGATTTACGTGTATGACAGTATTATAATTTATTTAATCCCAACAATGTTTAGATATGAACTAACAATGTTTACATAAAACAACAAATCATATTATGTCTTTTTACTTCTTATAATTAATAGAGAAGTAGGGACAAAAAAAAA